TCTAAAATATTTAGGTCTTTCATAAACATGGCTTTATGTATGAATGAGGATTAATGATTTAGTCAGGCTTAGGTGGAAGAAGTTTGAAAGAAGGAGAGGTAGTCATGACGGGAGGTAGGTACCATCTGTTGAGAGCCGGTCAATATCTGAATTCAGAAGGGGCTGGATAGAGGAGAAACCTACTATAGCAAATTGCACATAGATGCCAAGTTGGTAACCGGGTGAGTCACAACTCGTAATTTAGATAACTTAGAGTGTACCTCGGGTATGGCACTTGTCGTTTAGAGATAGTTCTCATATGCTATCTGCCAACTTGTTCAAAGTTTATCACTTACTGATAAATCCTCTTAGCAAATTATACCATTCTAAATAAATTGTATCAAGCCTAATAAAGTTGTGGCATGATTGCCGAATTTGATTAAAAAAATATATATATATATTTCGGGGTCCTATTTATCACCTGGAGGGGATTTGCAAAATTTTATAAGTAAAGTTTACTATTGATCTGGTGCTATATCCAAAATTTTTTTTTACTAAGACAATCAATCTTGTTAATTAATTGAAAGTTGTAGAGCTTATCAAGATGTATTTAATAATGTAAAAGTGTCAAAATCGGCCTAGTAGTTCTTGAGATATCTTTAAAAAACATCTTGTACATATATAAAATTCCTTTAAAAAAAGAAAACTTTTTTTAAAGGAATTTTATATGTACATAAGATATTTTTTAAAGATATCTCAAGAATCACCAAGCCAATTTTGATGCTCTTACACTATTAAATGCATCTTGATGAGCTCTACAACTTTCAATTAATTAACAAGATTAATTGTCTTAGTAAAAAAAAAGTTTTAGATGTAGCACCGCCACATTTGAATTAATAGTAAACTTTACTTATAAAATTTTGCAGATCTCTTTCAGGTGACAAATAGATTATCAATCAAAAGATTATAGAATATAAAAACAGATCTTTTATATATATATATATAATCATGTTAAGCCTCATAAAGCAAAAAAACTTCACATTAAATAGATATCAAACTATATTTTTTTAATAAAATACAAGTTACTCTTATTATAGTGAATTAATTAGATTGAGATTAAGAGTCTATTAATAAATGCATATATTAAGAGAGTGTTTATATAAACTAGTATCACTATAATTATAATAAAAGTTCAGTATGACAAGAGTGACTTGTATTTTTTATTTTATAATTTTTGTAATAGGGATAGCACTAATTTAAACTATTATTGTTATGCTTATTCTGTTTTATTTTTTAGGTTTAATAAGAACCTCTAGCATATACAAAACTTACTAGCTAATAAGAAGTTGAAATATAAAGGCATGTATGTGTTGATAGATCTAACAGACTCTGGTTGTATTTATATAGAAGTTTTCAAATATTAAGAGGACTCAGGACCACCAATACAAGTATAGCTAGTATAAGTGAATACAGTGATAACCAGGGCTACAACTGCTGAGAATCACTATAAATAGAAAATAATAATGCATCTGTTAAGAACCCTCTAGGCCTTATAATTCTATTCAACTATATTAGATACTAGAAGCATTTGCAAAACATACCTAAGCAGCCTTGTTACTATATTGTGAAGTATAGTTATTTACATAATACCGAATTTGAAACATTAAAACCTGGGTTTCAAAGTTACAGAAAACTAGCTAGTTATAGCAGCATGCAGGCTTAAAATATATACCTAATCAGGTAAAGGTAGCTGCATGGCTTGAGATACAAACTCCTAAAAGTATACTAGTTGGAACCTAATACACCAAACTGAAAACAATAAGCATCTACCTAGTATATACTAATTTGGAAGTTAAGATACTAGATAATATGAGTAAAGTGATAGACATGTAAATACTAATTGGTAGTTAGGGAGAGATGTATAAATCCAGGTCAATCACATATTTAGAAGTGTTAATAGCTCTAGCTATAGATAAATGGTTCTAAATTTAAAATCCTAGTTCTGATATATAATATGTATGTATTTTGGCACTACTATATATTAACTTGCTTAAGTATTAATTAAAGTCTAGAGCAGGTGCTATACTCTAATATTAAAAATTTATTTAATATTATACATCTTGAAATTTTAGATTAAATATAAGTAAAATAAGGGTTGCTATTAAAATTTTTTGCTAAAGTTTAGATTCATATATACGTATTAGGTTATATAAAATCTGTTATACAAATTAAATTATTGTTATGTGATCTTTTAATTGTATTTATTTGTTGTTGTTATATAATCTTCTAATTGCATGTTTATTATTATTATCATGTAATTTTCTAATACTAGTAGTGTGTTTTAGTAAACTTGATAATAATAATAATAATTATTATAATAATCAAATAAATATTTAAAAAAAATAATAAAAATAAAATAATAGAGATGTGGTGACTTAGTGTAGTGGTCTAGTCATCACCTTCTCCAAGTAGCAGGTCTAGAGTTTAAATCTTACTGGTGACGATATTTGAAAAATAGGCTTGTGTATAGTTAACAGCTATGCTTATCAGTTGGATTTAGAACTTAATCTGTAACTTTAGTTACACTATCTAGTAATTGGAGCAATGGCACAATAAATCTGAGGAACCGGCATAACCAAAAACCTATTTGGGAAGTCTCGAGTTAGGAGTAATAATAATCTTTGATAGTATTACAAGAGGGCTAAATTCGAACCGGGGCTCAAAATCGAAGAACTGAATAACCAGGTCCTAATGGTGGAGGACACAAACTACCCCAAGAACACCCTGAAAAATTCTGCGCTATGTGATGTACTAGCCAATCAAATTTCTAGATTGGCATATAATCAACAATATGCATATATACATTTTACTAATAGATTAGACGATTTTTTCAAACTTCTAGCGAAGGTTTCTAAATAACTACATGATTAAATTTGGTAAATTTTTTTTTATTTTAATTATATGCTTTCGTAAAAAGTTCACTAAATTTGGTTCTGTAGTTGTTGAAAAACCATCGCTAGAAGTTTGAAAAAAAATGTAATATCTTAAAAACATCAGGTAAATTTTTTTATTTCTAAGCTTTAAATAATAATTTCTCAATAACCATTTATTCAAATTTAATGATTTTTTTTAATTTTGATTCTCAGCATATATAGAATTACAATAAAAAAAATTTTGTTGAATTTAAATAGGTAGTTGTTAAGAAATATTGATTAAAAGTTAAAAAAATTAGCTGCAGCTTTTTTTTTATAGGTTCTAGACTTTGAACGAAGATTACTTGCACTTATTTAACCAAATTCGATTAAAATTTGTTATTTTAATTCTATTATATTATAGAATTAATAGAAAAAATTTTGATTAAATTTGGTCAGGTAAATGCCAAGTAAACTTTATTTAAAGTTTAAGCATCTATAAAAAAAAAGCTGCGGCTAATTTTTTTTTTAACTTTTAATTGATATTTTTCAATATCTACCAATTCAAGATTACCAAATTTTTTTTTATTTTAATTATACATACTCACAGAATTAAAATAAAAAAAAATTCATTAAATTTGGATAGATTATTATTGAAAAAAAATCATTGCAGTATTTTTTTTAAAAACCTTTTTCAAAAAATTTTAAATGATTTTTCTCAATAATTATATATCCATATTTGATGAAAATTTTTTTATTTTAATTCTACAAATCTGTAAAATTTAACTAAAAAAAAAAAAATTTATTGAATTTGCTTTGTGGATGTTGAAATATCTTCGCTCAAAGCTTTAAAAAAATACAAAATGTCTATCAAAATAAGGGCTGTATTAAATTATTAAACTTTGAGCGAGGATTTCTCAACACCCACCAAAACAAATCTGATGAGCTTTTTTTTATTTAAATTCTGCGAATCTGAAGAGTTAAAATAAAAAAACTTTTATTAAATTTGGCTTTATAGTTGTTGAGATATCTCCACTCAAAGTTTAGAAATTTCAAAACGTATATCAAAATGAAGAGTTGCGTCAAACTTTTTCTTAAACTTTGAGTAAAGTTATCTTGACTACCACCAAGCCAAATTCAATAAATATTTTTTATTTAAATTCTACGAATACGTAGAAGTAAAATAAAAAAAGTTTACCAAATTTGGGTTGGTGACTATTGAAATACCTTTGCTCAAAGTTTAAGAAAAGTTTGGCACAGCTTTTCTTTTTGAAATATTTTGAATTTTCTAAACTTTGAATGGAGATATCTTAACTATTAAGCCAAATTTAATGAAATTTTTTTTATTTGAATTCTTCAGATTCGTAGAATTTAAATAAAAAAGGTTCATCAGATTTGGCTTAGTGGATATTGAGAAACCTTCGCTCAAAGTTCAGTGCAGCTCTTATTTTAATAGATGTCTTGGATTTGAGTGAAGATATTTCAACACCCACCAAGCCAAATTCAATAGATTTTTTTTTTTTGAATTCTACATATTCATAGAATTCAAATAAAAAATATGCATTAAAATTAACTTAGTAGTTGTTAAGATACTATTGCTTAAAGTATAAAAACTATAATATATAGGAGATACAAATAATAGCTGCCTAAAATAAAACTGAATAAATAAAACTAGATGAGTATAATTGTATAAATGAATATAAAATTAAGATCTTTATATTTGCCTAAATGCAATTTTGCTTATTTCAAAATACTTCGAATAAATAATTATTTTAAGAGATCATCGTAATATAATACAACACATACGTATTAATATTAAAATTTAAAACTTAGCTATGCAATATCGTAATTATTATATTATTGTTAAATATATGTTATTTTTAATCAGTAAAAAATTTTTTTTGTCTCTTTAAACCGTCAAGAAAAAAATATAGAGACAGAAAAATGTATAAAGTGTAGAAAAACTTACCTTTGCATGAGTTTATTAATAAAACCAATAATGAACTAAATACTTGTTCCTTTTGTCACTCTAAGTCTTCTATATATTATAAAAATTCCTGTCAATCTAAACTAGTCACTCCAGTAACTGAACTTTTATCACTAAAAGAAATGTCGAATAAGCTTTATAAACAAATTTTAGAAATTAACACAAATGAATATTTAGAAAATGAATTAGTTAACATCGATTTTCAGTATGATATTTTACTTGATATTAAAGATGATGATCCACGAAATTTATCTAAAATTATTGCTGAATCATTGGGTAATGCAGATGGTTATTACTATATTTACAAGGATTGTTATTCTTCCAAGAAAGATAATATTTTTATAATTTGATATAATTGTTCTCAAATTCAATCAATTACTAAAAAACCTAGAAAGCATGAATGTATTGAAAGTCAAAGAAATCGTATTTCAATTGATAGATTTGATTGTAATGGGCAAATTAAGATTGTTCTTAATCTAGAAATAAATAGTGCATCAATTTATCTTAAGCATTCAATGCTTCACAAGCGACCAGAATGATTTGGTGTTAATGAAGTAATTAAAGATGAAATTAAAAAAAATATTCATCTTAGTCCAAGTAAAATATATCATATTTTAGAAAATAATTATCCTAATTTAACACAAAAACAGGTTCATACATGGTGGCCAAATTTGCTTAAAAAGGAATATATACGTGATAATGATCAATTAAATTCAGCAAGAATTTTTTTAAATGAAAGTGTTTATAGAGTTATACTTAGTAGTAGCACTGAACCAATTGGATTTCTAGATTTTATAACTCCATTTTTTGAAAAATTAATGAAAAATAAGAAAATTATTGTAGATTCTACTTATAAAACCAATGCATTAGGATATGAACTTTATTCAGCTATTAGTCAATTTGATGGAGCAGGCTTTGCAATAGTGTATCTTTTTGTTAAGGGCAAAAATAAAAAAGATGGTATTGCAACAGAAATTTTAGCATTGTTTTTTAAGTTTTTTTTTTTTTTTTTTTTTTTTTTTTTTTTAATATTAAGGTGACCACTTAGGCCCTTGGCACTTTATTAGTACAAGCGGTAGGCC